CTTCCCTTTGGAAACAGGATCCCTCTGGTTTCAGGTCCCCTTCCTGAACTGAGTCCATCTTTTCTTTGACATGTGAATATTTCATGTCTTCGGTGAGCATCACGGTTCCTACTGGTCTTTTGCAGAAGGCACAGCTCTTACAAAATTTGAATCCCCACATTAATATTGTTGACCTAGGAAGGCAAAGATGCATCCGAGGGGAAAACAAATGTCCTTTTCTTGAACATATCTGCCGTAAATGTGGCCGGTGGTATTCAGTAACATCACAAAACAAATACATTGGTTTCCAATGAGGCAAAAGGGTGTTCCCCATTAACCACCCCCCACAGGAAGAAAAGCAGACCCAATCAATTATTTTGGTTAAACCCAATATGTGAAAATCTGCTTTTTCACAAACTGTAGAAATAGTGCCTACAGCTTGAACTGAGCAAACAGACACCCTCTATTCTAAGAATGAGTTCTGCTTCCTTTCTCTGCCATTCAGTCATCCTACCGGGCTTCCCAAAGCTGAAATATCTCAGAAGTCTCTTATTTCATTGGCATGTGGACTCTCAAAATATATTTGACATTTTCATTTCCATCTTCTATTTAAATTAGGTCAACATTGGTTGACTGCTTGTGGCAGCATTTTTATTAAGCTCACAAATGCTAGATTTATACGATCCAAATCTAGTTGATGGAATTATGTTGTCTATTAATTGGAAGATCTTGGATAAGTTACTTAGCCACCTGGAGCCTCAGTATCCTAGTCAGTAAAGTGGGAATAATGAGGAGGAGAGAAGGATCTAACTCAGAGAATTGCTGGGATGAATAAAGGGGATATTTATAAAGATCTTAAAGGAGGGTTTCACCCTTCAGGAGAGATTCATGGGGAGGGGTGAGACACAAACAGGTAAGGAGATCCTTGTAAGGAGGGCCATTCTACAAGTACACAGAACAGACTATTGGAAACAGAGAAGGAAGTCAATTTCACTGGGGGGATCAGGAAAAGCTTCCTGCAGAGGACACTGCTAAGGCTTAGAAGGATGAGGTGGGTGGTGTTGGGGGGGAGGAAAATGGAGAAGGGTCTGGCTACAAAAGGCACCAAGATGGTACAATCCTGTCCCTGGAACAGAGTAGAGCCCTGGCCATAATAACGCAGGAATAAAGGGAAGCCTGATGAGAAGTCCATGTGGCCTCAAAGCAGCGTGTTGACATCTCTCCTTTTAAGTGATCATCACTTGGAGGTTTGTATGTTCCCCAAAGCCTCTGAATATGTGCGCTGAGCCCATGCTGTCATTTAAAAAGCAGAATGAGTTGGGGGCTGAATGGCACTGTGTCATCCCAACAAGAAGAATAACATTTGAATCTAACTGTGTCATCCATGCTCTTATTGTAAAACAACTTGTTCTAACAACACCAACAGCAAAGGAGAGCTCAGAGGTCAGCTGACCAGAGGCAGCGCTTCTTCCCCGACACATTCGTTTCAACCTCTGATTCATGAAACCCTTTGAGTTTCTTTCTGCGGCATGCTCTGCTTCTCCACCAGCCTGACTCATTTCATCTGATTGGGTCCAATCTCCCCCTCCTTGGCACGCCTCCTTCTGCTGCTGAATAAATAAATCATCCTGGGATGTGTCCAGGAGGAAAATTTTCATAGGAAAGTTCCACCCGCATTCAGCCCCTCGTGTGTGCAGGCTGGGTTCTCAGGCGCCCAAGGAGGAAGAATTGGGGAAATAGAGAGGTGTCTTCCGCTGCCAAGTTGACTAATATGGTCATTAGCACAGGCGACTTGGGGCTATGCCCACAGAGAGAGAACACAGCTCCACACACACCTCCTCTGGGGTCTGCAGGAACCCGCCTCCCTCCCCTCCCAGCCCGAGGCCCAGTCTGCTCTCGCTCCTCTAGTTAAGAAACTTCCTACCCATCTGAGTTTCAATACAGCTGGCGACGCTGATGGGTCCATGGAATTTAGGGAGAAAGACACAAGCTGCATTCCCTTCGCAGGGATGTCATTCCTGGGATGGCTTCATTACGATCTAGATAACTACAAAACGGAGTTGTTGTTGTTGGCGGGGGGGGGAGGTGCTTTGGCCCTAACTTCCGGCCTCATTGGATAGGCCAGCTACTCTGGGAGACCTTTACAGTTAAATTAATTAATCTACTAACTGGGTTAAAAATAGAATCACCCTTCGTTCTATTTAAAATTGAGTGTTTACTGTGGTTGCCTTTCTTGGGGGTGGGAGAATACACCTCTAAGGGACTGGCGTCCAAGGGGTCATTCCCAGGATGTGTTCATCCAGAAATCTACTGGTCGGGGATGTGGAAAAACGTTACAGGCTTCTTCCCGCTTCTGGGATTCTCCGTGTTAAGGCCCGTGTTGCGTGTAAATCAAAATCACGTGCGTGGAAAAGGAAGAATTAACAAGGAAAGAATTTCTGGGACAAGGTGGCACGAATATACGTAGCTGGCCACCGAGAGCTAATCTTGCCCTAGCAGTCGGAGGGATGGAATCTCTCTAGGCCGGGGCAGGGGACATCACTCGCTCCGAGGGCAGAGGGGCAGCGGGCAAGGCGGGTCATTAAGGCTTCACGGGAGCGCGAAAGCGCCCAGGGCCTGACGTCATCGACCATCAGCTGACTGTGCTCAGGGCCCGGGCTCCGCCGCCTGCAGCCGCAGACGCAGAAGTGGCGGCCACCACGGCTGGGCCACATTCAGCCGGGGCGCGGGACTGCGGCGGCCGCACTAGCCCTGGGACTCGGCACCTGGGGCGCCGCTCTGCAGGCGCGGACGCAGACACCGGGCGCCCCCGGCGGCGCCTCGGTCCGCTTGGAGCATCCCGGGGGTTTTGCCCGCATCCCGGCGCCTGAGCCCCTGCGTCCTCCTCCCGGCCCCCTCCCGGGCACAGGGAGAACCTTGGCGGGCCAGGCGCTCGGGGGCGCGCCTAGCAGCGCCCGGGATCGGTGGAGTAAAAACTCCGCAGGAAGCTGCCTGCCGCTACAATTTCGGCTTCTTGGGGTTTTGTGCTTTTGAGCCCGAAAGTTGGCGGCACCCACAGCCCCGTGGGGAGGGCGGAACGGAGACCCTCAATTCCGCGCACCGGGCTCGCGGAGTCCGTGGGCAAAGCGGCCTGCGCGTCCCGGCTGCGCACCTGCGGGGGCCCGGAGCCTTCAAAAGCACCGCGGAGGAGCCCGCCCGCACCGCCAGCTGGAGCGCGGGACCCACGGAGGGGTCCGGCTGGGGCGCCATCGCCCGCCCCGGCCCGCAGCTGCCGCCTTCCAGACCTGGGGTGTCCGGGAAGATCTGGGTGCCAGGTCCCTGCCGCCCCCTCCCCTCCCCCCAAGTTCCGGGGGCGTGGCTTGGCGCGAGGGCGGGGGCCAGTCTCCTCCGGTGTCTGAGCAATCTGACAGGTCTCCCAATTCCTGCCGCCGCCCGGCGCCCACCGCGCGCTCCTCGGCGGGTCCCTGGATCTGGAGGCATCGCCGTGACTTCCCCGCGGCCTCGGGCTTCCCTTCTCGCCGCAGCACCCACTCGGCCTCGGTTCTGGCCTTGGATCCGCACGGATGACTTCTCTCCGTTCTCCGAGCGGCTGGCTTTGGGGCCCTCCCCACTTTTTCCGGCCCCCGCCTCCCGCTGCTCCCAGCTCCGGGCCGAATGGACTCCAGAGAGCGCAGTGAAGGGCATGGGAACCGTGAGCTGCGCCTCCTCGCAAGCACAGCTGGCAGGGTGGACCTGTCTTCTTGCAGCGACTGGGACCCTGAGACCCTCCCCTGCCCGGAGGGATGCGTGGGGCCGGAGCCAGCCCTGCTCCGTCAGTCCTCGCTCAGGAAGTAGAGGCAGCCAGAAACGATGAGCCCAGAAGGGAGACTCAGCACACCCCCTCCTCCAAATTAACTGTTTGGTGACTTGTTAGCTCGGAGGCTTCCACCTCTCCACCCCGCCAGCCGGGCACCCCAGTC